ACAACTGTGTGGACGACACCCGCACAAACTCTCACTCAGTATCACACACACACACACACACACACACACACACACACACACACACACACACCATGCGCCCTACATCGGCGACCGACCACGGATGGCTGCAGCGATCTCCATAAGCGCTTGGCACATCATCCTCTGCGTCTCATCGGATGCCGTGTAGTGCGCTTTCTGGACTGCAACTTCCTGCTCCAGTATGTCGCATTGCCTCGTGAATATGCTGCATTGCTGTTTGCTAGACGATTCGATCGTCGACGACATCAGTTCGCCATGGCGGTCCATGACATCAGCAATCGACTCCAACACCTGTTGACGCGCATTTTTCCACTTCCCGCCCCCAGCCCGGCTGGCTGCGTTGTTATCAGAGTCCCTCGTAGTAGAATGTTCTTCAGGGAAGCCTTCACCAGTGCCCTCACTACCAACAGACTCCCCAGCACCCGCTCCTCGCCTGGGCAGCTGCACCCCGTCCGGACTTCCGGTGTCGGCGATGTTGGGAGGGAAAATTGTGTGGTTGCCCACCATGCCTGCGTGGATCTCGTTGTACAGCGTCCTCTCCATCCGGAACTTGAAGTTGTGCTCCTTCCTTTCTTCATTCGAAAGCCGGAAGAAATCTGGCCGGCCACTCGCGTTCTGAAACCTCTGTACCTTCTTGTAGTTTTGGAAGATGTTGTCCCACTTCTTCATGCAGTCCTCCGCGTCCTTAGGCCTCCCCGTGTTCGCCATGCGCTTGGCAATATCGTCCCACTTCCACTCCTTGGTCCGCATCCGCCCGTAATTGTGACCGAGACTGGCGAGGTGCATCTCTTGCTCCCGCTTGCATCTCACCAGTTGCATTTGCTCTTCTGGGGACCAGTACGTCGCAGACTTCCCGTCGTCGTCGCTGACGCCACCTCTGCCCCCACGGCCAACGGATCGACCACGAACAACACCCCTGCTGCGTCCTTTCCCCCTCCCACCCGTCTTCCCCAAAGGCCGAATAGGAATGTCGTCGTCGTCGTCCCCTGCCTCCACGTCCTCCCCGAATCGTTCGTCGGCATCGTCACCGCCACCACCATCGTCGTCGCCGCCATCGCTGTGTGCCCGCATGTTTGACACTCCTCGTGTGATATTCTCCACAGTGGATGTTGGACGCACCGCTGGTCTGCACGTCCCGTCGTCTCTGAGGTCGGGTTGGGCCGGCGTTGTGGTTTTGGGTGTCGAATGAAGTGTACCGCCGATGCGCAGAGACCCGACTACGACTCCATGGTGTGCGGGGCAGGTGCTTATCAATCGATCGGCGGACGCTGCACTCGATCCATGCTGCCGGCCTGATGCCGATGGCTCGACACCGCCAGTAACGGACGCACCGCCACGAAGTGTGGACTGCTCTGTATGGCGACTTCCAAATTGTTGAACGCCACGTGGTGAAGGATCGGCGTCGATGATGAACGTGCGGCTCGGCTCCCTACCGCCGCCAGAACACAACCCGAACCGGAGATCAACTCCCCCATCGTCGTCGTCTCCCAAGCCCTGCTGCAGAAGTGTCGTGTACTCGCTGCGTCCGTTGCATGCCGACCCACCTGCGAGCACCGTCTGCGACAACATCTGCGTCAACCCGCTGCCGAGAGGAAATGTTGGAAGTTCATCCCCCACGGGCTCCTCGTCCGAGGGAGGCAGCGGCGTCTCCCACGATGGCAGATGGCTGTACATGAACGGGTCGTACCACCATGAAGGCTCCGTCGTCGCAGGTTTGCTTCCGCCCTCAGCTGCAGGCAGAACAGCGCCTGCCTGCATGCCCGCCATGGGACGTCCCTCTTGAAGCACAGCGCCTTTCGTTGACGCCCTGCGCTTGCGACGTTGCTTCCACGGCCGGCACGACAAGCACACGTGGAGGAAGACGACAAAGACGAAGACGACCACAACGAGAAGCAGCAGAGGCAATCTCCTCTGCATGTCTGCCATGAATTCGATGTGGACAGGCAACCTTGCACGTGACGTCCTGCTCAACTTTCTCCTCACAAGCCCGCAGACAAGGCCGCTGGACCTTCATATGTCGTCGACCGGCAGCGAAGACAACAAACGTTCACGCCTGCGATTCAAAAACCGACCGTTGCCGGCCACGCCGCCTCTGTGTGTCGTCGTGCGCACGTCTGGGGACTCCTCCGTTGCCCGAATTCGAGCCAACGGTCCGCAACGGCTGCCCGCCAGGCCAAGCTTCGCCCCGCGCGCTCCACCCCACCGGCCAATGGCTACCGCTGGGGGCCGTTGCCGTCGTCGACCTGCAGAAAACCTCCGATGTCCGCCCACCGACCCGACGGACCTCTCCTGGACCAGCGCCTCCGTGTCGACGGTGCCATTCTCGCAACGCGGCGACTCCGTGAAATGCGGCAATCCTTAATTTTTCAGTAGGTCCGGGGCTACTGGAAAATTTAGGACGATTTGGCTGGGGAATCCTAAATCTTTTAGGACGAGTCCTAACGCCGTTTTCACATTTTCGATTCCCGCGTCCGATTTAGGATTGCGTGCAACCAAGACGCAATCCTAAAAACAGGAACTTTTAGGAGTGTCTAACGAGACCCTATCTGCTAACTCTCAACCATTGACAAAAACCAATGAGGTGAGTAAAACAACAATCAATTTACAATCAGCAGTTATGTAAAAGAAAGGATTCATATAAAAAATGCAGTGAATTTCAGTTGTGGCCGTCCGCCTTCATCATGGACCATTGAGAACAAGCCCGAGAAGGCTCCCCAGTGGGTGGCAAACAGTCTCAGTGATTTAACAGAGTAGCCTTTCTTTTGAACTTTGTATTCCCAATCCGCAAGGATCGCCTGCTTAATGCCATATTTGACTTCCGCTCTAATCAAAGGAATGATGGGAGCTGTTAATCGTTCTCCCCTTCTCACCGCCGAATTTCTCTCTGTCCACAAAGTCCACAAGATGGCCCCTCTGATTGTCTCTTCTGCATAACTCATCAGGCATCCCTGGCGCGTCGTTTGGGCCACTAACCCCATAAGGACAAACTGATCAGTCCACCTTGTCTCGGCTCCCGGGACGGGGACAATTCCTCCCCTCCACCAATCCCAGAAGGGTTGAGAGAGGTCGCAAAGGGGAGAAAAATGGTGCAAGTCCTCGATCCTCGTTCCCGGGCATATTTCACAACCAGGGGTTGCTTTAGATGTCCTCCTAGAGCACCATGCTGCCACCGGAAGGGACATATGCATCATCAGCCACAACAAGCTCGCATGTTTAACCACCGCCAAATCCATCAATTGTTTCCAGAACGCAGGCAATGCTTCAGCAATTCTGAGCGAAGAATCCTGTATCCAATTAGTTGCTATCCATTTGTTCGCCACTCGCCAGTCGATGTCCATTTCCAGCATTGATAGTCGATAGCCCAATTTGGTGGAGTACTGGTAGACCGGTACGGGAAATTCTTGGGTTAGCTGGGGTTTGGTACAATTTTTATTATTATTTTTTAATTCCTGGAAAATCTACTCATGCTTCATGCTGGGGTCGGACTTCTCCTAAGTTCCTCCTCTCCCTTTTTTTTTTTTTTTTTTTAACAATTTTAAAGGGGGCAATTCGCGGAATACTGATTCAGTATGTGTCCTACCCGAACCTGTTTTGGGAAGTAGAGTAGCGTCGGTACTGGTTTAGGAATATTAAGGCTGGGGCAATTGCAGGGTACTGGTTTAATGAAGGAAATTACTTTGGTTGGTATTTCTTGCAATTTTCTCAATCTAAGACGTGTTAGAGTTTCATTTATCTCTCACTTTCTTCTTTCCTCTCTTGCTGCCACTCGCAGAGGTTCCGCTTATCTGGTATGCTTCACGTGCGGGCAGACTCTGAAGTTCTTGCTTAAGAGGGATGGTCAGTCCGTTATTTAAGATTTTTGCGACTAGGTGTGGATCCTTGCTGGGTGACTTATCGGACTCCTCCCGCTTTGTTTTTTTTTTTTTTAAACACATGCTTCCTAATGCACGAGCTCTTAGCGACGGCCAGTACTATCCCATGCTCAGCTTAGAGAGAACTTCAAAAGTTTTTTTTTTTTTTTCTTACACGGAGCACAGAAAGCAAAAACGACGTAACCTGAAATGGGAAAGAAGTTAAGAAGGAAAGCCCCACCTGTTCATCCTCTTACGTACAGGCCAGCCTGTGAATGACGGGTTGAGTGCTGGCTGCCCCCATCCCGTGTGTCACAAGGACCAACTTGCACGCAGCTGAAAGGCAGAGGTAAGGAAACGGAGGAGGAAACCAGACCTCACAGAGGCAAGAGAAAGAGGAGGGTCCGATCAAGGCAAAACGAGGTGAAAGGGAAAACAAGGCGAATGACACAGCCCACAAATAAATAAATATATAATATATATGTACAGGGTTGCCAGGCCGAACGGACGGAGGCCCCTAGGCGGACCCCCGAACGTTCGGGCGTTCGGGGCTCCGTACGGGGCCCGAACATGAAGGGGTTCGGACCCCGCAAAAAAACATTTTGGCACCTAAATATTATTATTTGTTTCTGAAAATTTTCTGTGAGTTCCTTGTGATGTAAGGTATCTCCCTTTTAATTTTGCAGTCATTCTGTTCCGCCACAAAAAATTGAAAAAATTTGCAAAGATGGTGGTGTCAAAACTTGCTTGCCCACTCACTAATTTGTTTTTTCTCTTTTTTCACTTTTTGTCTTTCCTTTATTTCGGAGCATGAAACAAAATATTATTTTTTAAAACTTTATTTGTATATTCTTTATTATGTAAGATACACATATACAAATTTTTGTGGCATTTGTCAGAGCCAAAACAAAATGAAAAATCACCAAAGATGGCGGTGTTAAAAAGGTGCTCGCCCACTCAATAATTTCATTCTCGTTTTATTTTTTCTAATTTTCATTATTATTATTTACTTTTAGTATTTGATTTTTATTTCGAATTTGGTAACGGATTTGGATGTAACGTTGAGGCAAATGTTGTTTAGTTTATTCTTCTGTATAACATATATTGTTTTCTGTTTTTTTTGTTTTTTTTTTTTGGGTCCGCGTTCCCAATGCGTCGAGAGGGGGTGCCGAACGCGTTCGGGTTCGGGCTCTTCGGCCCCAGTTCAGAACAGCCCCCTAAATACCACTCCTGCTTCCTCAGCTGCATACAGTACCCCCTAAAGTACGCCCCGCAGAGCCGAAGATCCCCCTTCCCTCCTGCCCCACCCCCTCCAAGTGAAACAGCCCTTCAACATCTCACAATGCTGACATCAGCACCCCTTGTCCTCTCTCCACAACCGCCATAGCTGATCCAACCCAAAAATCAGCGTGGCCCAGAAAAGGACAAACCCTCAACACCGCCCCCCCCTTTCAAAGATCACACCACCCACCCTGTGTAACCCTCGCAGGGAGGGGCTCCAACCCTAAAGGAGGTACTTCCATTCAGATTCAATAGCCAAAAACAGATAGGAGCGATTCACCTGAGGAAGACCTAGGCAGAGTTTAGAGAATTCTGAGATTGGAATTGGCTGCAGGAATGAAGGTAGAGGAGTGGAGAGTCCCAGGATTTGTAACAGGAAGCCACTCCTCTCAGAAAGATCTAGCGTGGGTCCCAGACAGAACAGTCCAAACCACTAAACGCCTTTAAGAAGCTCGAGTGTTGCTCCAGAGCAAAGCTAAGCAAGCTAAACTTCTGGGTGCCTCCCACTTGTTTTGGGTGGAACCAGATTCCAAGAGCTGGACTCTGGAGGGACTGGAACAAACTCCCCTGGTCCTATACAGAACTAAAACCGGGACTACATTGCTACAATCCAAGGTCTTGAATACCCCTTCACTTTTGGCCAACAGAAGACTGGGAAAACTTAAAAATGGTATGTTGATTAAACCTGATTGGAAAACACTCTGGCAGGCTCTGTGTTGAATACCCTCGCAGAGAGATGCCAGTTTGCTGTGGCTGCAGTCCTTGCTGGTTGTTGCCTCAGCTCTGTGGTTGTGATTAAGGGGAATGGACATCTCAATCACCTGTTGTAGGTGCGACTGGGGCTGGGAGTCAAATGCCCATCTCTGGCTCTGTTGCCCACTGGCTGATGAGCTGTGGATATGGTGGCTCCATCATTGGAATTTAATAACCGGACCAGCCTGGCCGTGGACGGACGACTGGTCTCTATATGGGATCCCCCCAACTCAGAATGGATCTTATAAAGAAGGGTGGGGATACTTTGCATTGGTCTGCAGAGGAGTTCTCATCCAAGAAATCTGGAGGGCACAGAACTCAGAGATTTTCAAGAGTACAAAAATCCCAGTTCAAGAACAGCAACATCAAGGGGCTCGTTCGACACTCCTCGGGCGTGTAAAGTCCCCGAGAAATTGTTCGTTCCACCTATCCTCGGGGATGCAGTCGGCAAAAGTGAAGACACTCCGAAGGAAATTCCTTGGGCTCTGAGGATTCCCCAGCCATATCTTCCTTTTGCCCAAGGGACCTCATGAGGTCCCTTGGGCAAAAGGAATCCGCGTTTCACTGAGAGGAGCGGGCACATGGGTAGAGAGACGTTACGACCAAGAATCTGGATCGTGCCAGCACCCAATTGGCTGAAGGCCTCAAACACATTTGATTTTTTTTCTCTTTTCTTTTTTCTTGTCTGACATTGTTCGACGTCCCCGAGGACAGGTGGAATGATGGCGGGAATTTCCTTGAAAATCCCCAAGGAAACTTCCTTCGGCCCCGAGGACGCCCCAAGGAGTGTCGAACGAGCCCCCAAGTCACGAAGAATATCAGAAGTATGATCCTGGTTGACTGGCAAGCGTGTCTCAAGAGCAGGAAGAAACGGCTCACCTGGCTTTTGAAGACATGGGCAAAGGACAGACAACTGGCGGTAGTCACGCAGGAAAGAAAACTAGTGCTATCCCGCTGGCTAAAACCACCATGAAAATCTCGGGCTGGGGTAGTCAGAATCTCTGTACAAAGGGTGCCGGACTAGGCTCCCTCCCATAGACAATGGGTGGCTCCTGATATTCAAAATGTATAGGCTACTAAGGCTAGCTGCTTAAGAGCTTGAATAAAAGCGAGATTTTGTGGGAATTTGACGAGCCTTATGACTTTCTTGAGTAAGGATC